AATTTTAACCAACGTTGTGTAAAACTGTCCAATTTTGCCCAACGTTTGCAGAAGGGAATTCGGAGACTCACTTATTTCAGAATAAAACGGTATATACAGCCTCATGTACTGGAGGCAAGGTGGCATTGATCCTAAGTGTGCGTACGCTGAAGTCAGAATGCCCTCAATCACTGACACGAGGCCTAACCCGAATTTGACAGGGCAAGAAGCTAAATCGAGTCCGAGACAGGCGCTATATATAATAATTGGCCGCAATTAATGGAGTAACTGGCCAACCCCTGTCCACCCCCAAAAAGGGAAGTTTTGGTGGTGTGACATATATTTGCAAAAAAACGCAGGTGCTTTCCTTGACCAGTTTTTGTTTTCTTTTATTTCCAGATTCAGATTTTTCTGATGAAGGTAAGTTGCCTTGCGTTCTCTGAGTTTTCAATTGAGGAACAGTTTTAGGTCCTTTTCAGATTGGTACACATTTTGCCAAAGGGTAGTGTACATGTTCATTTGTTATCATTTTTGTACCATGGACTTGAGCATAACTGGTTGCTTTGGTTTATATACGATCAACAAAAAAAGTGACTCGTGAACCGACAATTTGAAAATCAGTCTCAAGTGATGGTACACGATGTTTGGGGGTACCGAGATACTTGTTACACGGAGTTCTTGATCACATTAGTTAGAATCAAAGAAAAACTCACGGAAACGGATCCTACAGTTGTATTCCATTTTGCATGGCCGAGCTCTTTCTGTTTCAAAGTACTGGGAGTGAAACAAACATTGATACTTTTAGAGAAGGGTTTATGTTTCGCCCAGATATGGATGAGGAGGAAAGGTTAAGGTTTTGGAAATTTGTGGTGGTGAGTTGCCCTATTGGGAATTCATGGGACGAACCTATACGACCTCTCCACTGTTCTATGTAACTACAGTGGCTTTGGATTCGCTCATCAGTTAATCGGTGCACACCACCTACATGAGGCGTATCCCAAATTCGATAAGTCAAGAAGCTAGATCGAGTCCCAACCAGGCGCGATATATTATAGTTGGCCACAATTAATAGAATAATTGGTGAAAATGGCTGGCCAACCCCTGTCCATCCAAAAAAGAGCAGTTTTGCTGGTGTGACATATATATTTGCCAAAAATGCAGATGCTTTCATTTATCATTTTCTGTTTTGTTTGATTTCCAGAATCTGAACTTTCTGATGAAGGTAAGTTGCCTTTGTGTTCCCTGAATTATCACTTGAAGTGAAGTTTATGTCCTATTCAAATGGGTACACATACTGCCAAAGTGAACTGTACGTGTTTATTTTCATCACGTGTAAACCATGAACTTGAACATGATCGTTTCCCATCATATACATGTATAAAACAAAAACAAAAACAAAAAAAGTGACTGGTGAACTGACAACTTGAAGGTTGTTAAAGTCTAAAATGATGAAACACGATTTTGGGGGAGTAAGGTATCCTTTTTACACAAAGGGGTTTTGGTCACAGGGGTCGGAATCAAGGAAAAACTCACGGAGACGGATTCTACGGTAGTATTCCGTGAGATCTTGGCTGAGCTCTGGCTGATTCACAGAACGGAGAGTGAAACAAAAGTTAATACCCTGGGAGAGAATTTTGTGTTCAGCGTCAGATATGGATGAGGAGGAAACGTTAACTACGGTATTGGAAGGGGGTGGTGGTTAGTTTCCCAATTGGCAATTAATATTAACGACTTCTCAACTGTCGTATGTAATTCCAGTGGCTTTGGGTTCACTCTTTAGTTAGTTGCTTGTATACGTATATTACCATTAAACTTCCTATACTTGAACTCTTCTGGTCACTGATTTATAGTTCTTACTCCCCATGTGTAAAATTCTTTTCAAATACAAAATTACATCATATACTACAGGTTATCTTGAGCATATTTCCCTTTTATTTGCCAATTTGAATATTTTAAAACTTGGTGTTAGGCCTATTTGTTTTTCATTTTGGCGGAATTTATTTTGAAATACTCTCGTAATTTATGACCCCCAAAAAATCCATTCCTTTATTTTCTTAGTTCTTCAGTTCACACTCACCAGACTCGTAATTCAGCTAAAGGGGATTTTTTGTGTGAAATCAAGTATAACTTGCCTCAATATGTTCGCATCTCTTGATTTTTCATTACATCAAATGTATTGATCTCGATATATCTGTTGCCCGGTCTCACTTATGCATAACATGTCCTTGTCCCCATTATTTGTATGTACTTTTGTCCTTGTGCCAGTACATTCTTTTGTTTTTGTCTGCATAGGGAAGGGGAACAAAAAGCAATTGCTTCTCCCTTTTCTGACATGTTAACATCACTTCATTATTTATTCATTATATATTGCTAAGGACAAAATATTTCTTTTGAACAAGTGTAAATTACAGCAACATAATTAATAACAAACAGAAAACAGAAGGGAATTCGGGAACTCACCGATTTCAGAATAAAAACGGTATGAACATGACTGTCCGCAGCCACAAGTCAGAATGCCCTCAATCACTTACATGAGGCCTTTCCCGAATTTGACAGGGCAAGAAGCTAGATCGACTTCAAGACAAGCGCTATATATAATAGTTGGCCACAATTAGTGAAATAATTGATGAAAACGGCTGGCCATCGCTGTAGCCTTGCAAACAACATTTGCTACACAAGCATTTTTTATTTTAAGTGTCCGGTCCCTTTCTGAACGCACCCTGAGGCAGTAGTACTTTATTGCTGCTGTATTTGGTTCTTATGGTGGTGGTGGTGGTGGTTCACTGTAATTACACAAATTACAATACTTAACTTTAGTATTAACAATTACAGAAAAACATAATAAACCATTAGATTAATTAGTCAAATATATATGCGATTGTGCTTGAGCCTTCACTTGACATAGTGCGTACATTATCCCTGTACGTGTAAGTAAACACCCCCAAAACATAAATCTTCACTTTGAAAAGCTGCAAATAATCTTACTAAATCACTCAGAATACGATAAATTATAACCATGAATAAATCAACAAGGCTTACCGATTGTGTTGGATCCGAAACTACAACATTTGGGACTTAGAAAACCTGATAATTTTACATTTATTTGGGGAGATAAATTTGGTACACGTTCATAGTTTACGAATCATCGGAATCATGAAGAATTTACACTTTGACCTTACAAAATGCACCATATCACAAGAGGGCGCTATTACGAAAGTACGGGAACAATTAACGAACAGTTTTACAGCAACAAACTTATTTCCAATCAAAGGTATGCGTGATCATAAATTAAAGTTTAGAAAACACTTTGAAATAACAACTATGATTAAACCCAAATTAAATTTCACAACTTGCCGCTACATCCCCAGCCCCATGAACTGACTCGATCTGTTCATTATTCTACACCTTTAAGCGGCACACTTCAAATTTCAAAGCATCAAGGATTAATTAAATGCACCACAATTTCCAAATGATTGTGATTTTGAAAAACATGAATCACATTCAGAGTCAACTTCTTTGATCATTAACAAATCACGAATGTTCACTTGGCCAGAGTTCAATCACAAATGTTCATTGATTGATGAAACTTCACATGCTGTTAGCTCTTTCCAAGAAGCAAAGCTTGGCAATGGGGCGCCTGAGGTACTTAGTGCCTACTCTCACCTCGACCTGGCGAACTCGTCCCTCCTTATCTGGGTAAACTTGCATCACTCTGCCGAGAGGCCACTGTCCGCGGGGCTCGTTGTCAGCAGCAACCAACACAAGGTCATTCACCTCCAGGTCTCGTCTTGGCTGGGTCCATTTCTGACGCTGCTGCAAAAGTGGTAGGTATTCCCTCTTCCATCGCCTCCAAAACTGGTCTGCCAAGAATTGCGCTTGACGCCATCTGCGCCGCCCATACCCATCTTCCTTCGCAAATACCCCTGGTGGAGCATTGGAGCTTGGTCTCATCAGAAGTAGATGGTTTGGAGTCAATGGCTCTGCGTCACGGGGGTCCAAGCTGAGCTGTGTGAGCGGTCTCGCGTTTAAGCCTCCACTTCAGCCATCACGGTAAGTAGCACCTCATCACCACCTGTTCTTGAAGGAGATTCTTGAGAATTTTTCGAATAGAGCGTATCATCCGCTCCCAGACTCCTCCCATGTGACTTGCCGTTGGTGGGTTGAATTGCCACTCAATTCCTCGTTGATGAAGATAGTCTCCAATCTTCTGCTCGTTCAGTGATGTAATACTCTCCCGCAACTCACGCTCTCCACCCGTGAAGTTGGTACCATTGTCGCTCCTGATCTTTTCTGGTGTACCTCTCCTGCTGATGAACCGCCGAAAATTTCTATATGTACGGCCCTCATCGTAAGACACGTGAAGACACATCCGTATCTCTCGACATGGCTGCGTCCTTGTTTTATGTAAAGTGGACCGAAGTAATCCACGCCCACGTACGTAAAGGGGGGCTTCTCTGGAGTGACTCTATCTGCTGGCAGCTCACCCATCAGCTGTTGACAAAGGGGTGCATTTCTTTTCTTGCAACGGAAACACTTTCCAATCACTCGCCTCACTGTAGATCCTCCCTTCAGTATCCAAAATCTCTCTCTTAGTGACGTCCATGTCATACCTGCCCCTGAATGACCAACCTTGAGATGATGATGTTCGATCAGCAGCCTCGTCACCTGGTGATCGCTTGGCAGGATAATCGGATGCTTGATGTCATGTTGGATTGGCGCATTCTCAAGGCGTCCACCTACACGGAGAATTCCATCCACCAAAATGGGGCTCAATTTGTGGAGCGCATTCGGAACTTTCTTACTCTTCTTGGTGGTTCTTCTGTTGTCATCTGCATGAGCCTCAAGTTCAGCAATCTCCTTACGGAACGACTGACGCTGGGTGTATTTGACGACTTCTCTCTCTGCTCTCTGCAGCTCTGACAAAGACAGTCTCCTACAACAGAATTCGCTGGCATCCCGTCTTCCCTTGGCACGAGCATAGAGGTAATCTCTATATCTTAGCAACCAGGCAACTCCACGCTTCATTTGACTCCAGGATGAGTATCTAACTCCTGTACACAATCCTTCTCAACTATTGAGTAAGACTGGACAACTTTCTTCACCTCAGGATCACTCTGCAGAGTATCGGGTAGTACATCTGGGTAGGGCCCCTTGATTACAACAGGTGGGAGTGGCCAGTGTTGTTCTTCCTTCAACAGGAAATCAGGTCCGTTCAGCCATCGTTGGTTCTTGATCATGGTGTCTGCAGTCAATCCTCGTGAGCCATCATCCGCCGGGTTACTGGCTGTGTCCACGTACCGCCACTGGGATGGGTCATGTCCACTCTGTATCCTTGAAACGCGATTCGCAACAAATGTGTGAAATCTGCGACTCTCATTCTGGATGTACTGAAGAACTGACGTGGAGTCTGTCCAATACACTGTCTCCGTGATAGGCAGTCTAATCTCTCTTTGGATCAGCTGATTCAACCTCACCGCCAAAACTGCAGCTGACAACTCTAGCCGAGGAATGGTGACCTGTTTCACTGGACACAATCGGGCCCCTCTCCATGACAAATGCGCAGTGGATCTTTCCATGCACATCAACAACACGCACGTCAGCCTTGGTAGGTCATCCAGCCATCGCTTCCACCTCATCATCTCGCATTCCTCCACCTTTTCATCCCAGCCACGCCCCTGACGACAGAGATCCTGAAGAAGAATTTTAACTGGCAGGATAAATGGTGCGAGGAAACCCAAGGGGTCATACAATGAACTTACAGTTGACAAGATGCCCCTCCTTGTTGCGGGCTTGCATTTCACAGCTGCTTCGAACCCAAACTGGTCAGCCTCAACATCCCATCTCACGCCTAAGGTACGCTCCACTGGCAGATGATCAAAATCCAACTTAACAACCGATGGAGCTCTCTTCAGCAGGAATGGTCACCAATACATCACGACTGTTACATGCCCATTTGGTCAACCTGAATCCTCCTTTGGCTAATAACTGGATAAGCTGACTGGCTAACCTGATGGCTTCACTCTCTGTCTTCGTTGACACAAGACAATCATCTACATAGAAATTCTCCCGAACTGTGGTGACGGTTTCCTTGTCAAAGTTCTCTCGGTTGTCTTCAGCTGTCTTTCTGAGACAAAATCCGGCACAGCTGGGTGATGATGTCGCACCGAACAGGTGCACCAGCATCTTATGATCCGTTGGCTCCTTGGAATAATCTCCGTTGGGCCACCAGAGAAATCTCAGGGCATCGCTGTCATTATCAGGCACCTTAACCTGGTGAAACATTGCTTCAACATCAGCTACCAGTGCAACAGGCTCTTCTCTAAATCTCGTCAGTACTCCGACTAGATTATTTGCAAAATCAGGTCCCTGAAGCAGCTGGTCGTTCAACGATACACCCTTGTACTTGGCAGCACACTACTCTAAGTTTGCCTGGCTTTTGTGGATGCAGCACTGGGTGGTGAGGTAAGTACCACACCGTGTGACCTGTTATTGCGGTTTCTACACCATTGGCAAGCTGCTCATCAGTGGTAGTCTCAGGCATGACACCCTGGGGACTTGATGAAGATATCTCTCTGGCATAACCTTTCATGAAGTAGACATCAAGGGTCTTCTTATATTTCTCATACAAGCTGGGGTCTCTTTGGAATCGCCTCTTCAATGATTGTAGTCTTGACTCTGCAAGAGGGCGGTTGTCAGGCAAACATCGACCCTGAACGCCACGGTAGACCAACCTGGTAGTGACCATCAACCTTTGTTACAGTTTCTGTCATGATGGTCCTAGCTCGTTTGTCTTCCACCGAGTCAGCAACTTCACCATCAGCCATCTTGCCGCCGAAGTCCATTTCCCAGAATTTCTCAACTGTGCGTAGCAGCAAGTCATCTTCAAGCAAAACGTGATTTACTTTGAAACTGAACTGCTTCTCGGTAGTCGCTGTAGGTCCCAGCAAAGTCCATCCCAAGAGAGATCGAACAGCATATGGCTCCTTCCTCCTGCCACGTCGCTCTTCAAGGACCCAGAAGACTTCCGGAGTGTCTCCCCCAATCAGTAACATCACCTGACGTTCACTGATCGCAGGAAAGTTTATTCCCTGTAAGTGTGGCCACTGGGTGACGTCTTCTTCTCTTGGGAAACTTCTGTCTGTAATCGGTAATTTGTCAACAGTCCACACCTTGGGTAGGTCAACACTCTGACGTCCCTCCAAGTCTTTACTGTGAGGCTAACTTCAACTCCAGTCTTCTCACTGTGCTCGTCATTGACGGTAGCGAGGGTGATGTTCCTTTCTATGCCTTTAAGGCCTAGTTGATCTAGCAACCTTCTATCGCACAGTGATGTATCACTCCCTCCATCAAGCAGTGCCCATGTTTGAACTTCTTTGTCCTTTCCCTGCACTCTGACTGGGACAACTCTTAGGCACACTCTGTTCATGGAAGCTGCAGTTGCGTTTACACTTCCATGCTGTCTGCTCTCTGGCTTGCTTGTAGTGTGACTCTGGTTCTTGTCCCCAGCCCCAGATGCAGGACTGGAACTTGGATAATTGGCACCTTCACCTTTTGAAACTCTATCATTTCTGTGCGGAGGATGTAACAGTGTATGATGCCTCCATGTACAGCTACTGACTTCACATGTTGATTTCAGCATACAACCTTTAGCCATGTGCCCAGGTCGGAAACAGTTGTCGCATAACTTGTTGCTTCGGACGAACTTCAGCCTATCGTCATAAGACCTTTGCTGGAATTCTCTGCATTCCTCCAACATATGTGATTGGGAACAGCAGCGACATTTCGGCATATAGTTTCCTCGCTGAGGACGACTTCGTCCATTTGTTGTCTCTCCTACCGCATTAGAGCCTTGAGTAGCAAGCGTGGTAACCTTAGCTGGTTTACTCTTGAAGCTGGGATGTGATGTCTTGTCTGCTCGAATATTTGTCCCAATATTCTGGCCAAACATGTTACTTGCTATCTTCGCCTTTTGCTCGATGAAGTCAGTCAGGTGTGAGAAGTTGGGCTCCATGTTACCCTGACAACTTGAAGATATATCATGTCTGTGGGGGAGTAAGGTATGCTTTTTACACAGAGGGGTTCTTGGTTACATGGGTCGGAATCAAGGAAAAACTCACGGAGACAGATTCTACGGTAGTATTCCGTGAGATCTTGGTTGAGCTCTGCCTGATTCACAGAACGGAGAGTGAAACAAAAGTTAATACCAGTGGAGAGAAGTTTATGTTCAGCGTCAGATATGGATGAGGAGGAAGATTAACTACGGTATTGGAAGGGGGTGGTTAGTTGCTCTTTTGGAATTTCATATCAATGATTTCTCCAGCCACTGTCGTATAGTTCTTACTCCATATTTGTAAACTTCTTTTCAAAAACAAAATTACATCATACATTATAGGTTTTCTTGAGCATACTTCCCCTTTATTTGCCAACTTGAATATGTTAAACTCGATGCTATTTTTTTTTCCATTTTGGCTAAATTGATTTTTTCAATACTCTCGTAATTTATTATAACAAAAAAATCCAGCCTTCTTTTTACCTAGTTCTTCAGTTCAAACTCACCAGACTCGTGGCTCAGCTAAAGGGTTTTTTTGTGTGTGTGAAACCAAGTAGAACTGAGTTTTTTAAAGAGAGTGTCTTTCATAAAAGGGGACCTATGCTGGAATGGTTTAAATACAGACCTTAAACAGTCAGCCAGTTTTTCATCTTTTTGTAAAAAAACTAAAGAATTCTATAACTGATTTATACAACACTTAATATATTTGCATCTCTTTATATTTTATTACATCAAATTTATTGATCTCTATATATCTATTGCCCAATCTCACTCATGCATCACATGTCCTTGTCCCCATTTTTTGTATGTACTTTTGTCCTTTTGCCAGTATTTTCTTTTGTTTTTGTCTGCATAGGGAAGGTGAACAAAACGTAATTGCTTCTCCCTTTTCTTACATGTTAACACTACTTCATTATTTATTCATTATATATTGCTATAGACAAAATATTTCTTTTTGCAGAGTATGATGAGCATTGTTATCACATTTTCAGTGATGTTGACATAAAATATATGAATCTGAAATGAAATGAAATGAAATGAAATTATTGATTGTGCCAACAAAACTATGAAAACACAAACACAATCAATAGTTCTCCATTAATTAGTGAAACAAATAGTCCTATAGCTGATGATGTCTTTGCAATTGTACATAAAGTTAACATTCACCAGTCAGAAGAGATAAACGTGCAACAACTATGATTAAAAGCTATGTAGGCCTGCCCCGCTCGGGGTAGGTTTCAATTCTGAAAAATGAGCAAAGGTTATGCACACATTAGTATGTTGCATAAAACTGGAAGATGGACTTTATTCATTAGCTGCTCATCAAGGAATAGCTTCCATGATGCAATCAACACCTTGATTGCATTAACAAGTTATCAAACAAAATTTAACATTCAAAAAGTCTACGTATTAATCATGTTCAGTCTAAAAGAAATGAAACTATATCTACTTGAAGCAAGAAATATTCGTATATAAGTATGGCTGGATTTACATCAGCTTATCTCAAAGAAACACAATTACCAAATGCAATGCTCACATAAATCCTTAATCTATACTTTGTTTCTTCACTGAGTCAAGTTGCTAAATTAACTAAACCAAATAAAGAGTGAAGTCAACCTCATTAAATATGCACAAGAAAATTAGGTGTTCTTGGCCCTACTAGTTTTCATGTGGTTTGGTCAGCAAGAACTCACAGCTGTTGTCATAAACACACTTAAAGTTAGAGATAAACAACTGCTTAACGCTACCAGGGCTTGTAGTCACTGACCCGTGAACCACCTGGGCACATCCTGTCCCTTCTACCCTTTGCCCGAATACTAATGAGCTAGGGCTTGGTTCCTGGAATGCGTGACTAATCTACTGCTAGGACCATTTCCTGTCCAATATACTAAAGTATAGCCACATACTTGCAATATAAAAATGCATGGTCAAACTCTACTAAGTTTTATCAGAAAAGTGGCAATGGCAAACAATAAATTCAACCTTTCCAAAAAGTTCAGAACAAGTGGAAGAGCTACTAAATTACACATTCTTCAACATCCTAGAAATACCTTCAAAGTTTGAGAAATTGCTCTCATCAATTAACGTAATAATCTGGCATCTCTGAAAACATATCAGCCTTCTGAAAGGTTCTTAAACTCAATCAAAAATCTAGCATCTTCTACTGAAAACTTAATGAATCTACTCAAACTTTCCAGAACTATAATCTAAATCTTTGTGTGTCCTGCTTCTAGTGAAACTATCATTTGGGAAGTTTCAGAAAAACACAAATCAAAGTTCAACACTTCTCAAGTTGCTCAGGTTTCTTTCAAGCCGAATGTTAAACCAAAAATCACTTGGTTCTTAAAAGACCATAAAGTATCAATTCTACAATCAAGTAAATACAACTCAGTCTAAAGTATGAGATATAGAAATGAAATGAACATACCTGAAAAATGAGCAAAGGTTATGCACACATAAGTATGTTGCATAAAACTGGAAGATGGACTTTATTCATTAGCTGTTCATCAAGGAATGCTTGAGACACAGCCAAGGTGAACAAAGGGGGTGAAGTTCCATTTCCTGCTGGGTGCCTTAGCCAATCAGAATGAAGTGACCATGGCAACTGGGTCACTGCCCAGCTGACCAGCTGTACAGGCTAAAAGTGAGCATGTGCTAGTCACATGAGCATGGGGAAAGCACATGAGGCAAGCATAAGGGGAAAGACTATTTTTTTTAGTGGGGGTAATTTCCTTCAGCTCTCTGAGAGGGGCACTACAGCTAGGAATAATTATATTTCAAATCCCCACTAGGAAAATTGCAAGTATTCAGTGAATACTTATGAATAAATGGATAATAATCAAACTAATTAAGAAAGAATACTCTAAGAACTAATACTAAAATTGACATCTAAGGAAAAAATGTAATCTTTTCCTAAACAAGTAAAAGTTCAATATCGGTGTAAAACAATAATTTACGATAAAGGCAAATTCATAAAACAGCAATATGATTGATAAAAAAATCATAGAGAACAGAAGGGAATTCGGGAACTCGCCTATTTCAGAATAAAAGGGTATGAACATGACTGTCCGCAGGCTGAAGTCAGAATGCCCTCAATCACTTACATGAGGCCTATCCAGAATTCGACAGGGCAAGAAGCTAGGTCGACTTCAAGACAAGCGCAGTATCTAATAGTTGGCCACAATTAATGGAATAATTGACGGAAATGGCTGGCCAACCCCTGCCAACCCCCCAAAAGGGAAAATTTGGTGTTGTGACATACATATTTGAAAAAAATGCAGGTGCTTTCTTTAACCTTTTTTTCATTTAATTTCCAGAACTGCAGCAGGCACAACAGATGAGTAAGTTGCCTTGTCTTTTCTTAATTTTCAACTGGGGAACAGTTTTATGTCCTTTTCAGATTGGTACACATACTGCCAAATGGTACTGTACGTGTTTACTGTCATCATTGTGTAAACCATGAACTTGAACATTTACTGATCGTTTCCCATCATATTCATGCATGTATACCAACAAAACCGGCTTGTGAAATGACAACTTGAAGATATATCAAGTCTAAAGTGATGGAACACGATTTTTGGGGAGTAAGGTATGCTTTTTACACACAGGGGTTTGTGGTCACATGGGTCGGAATCAAGGTAAAACCCACTGAGACGGATGCTACGGTAGTATTCCGTGAGATCTTGGCTGAGCTCTGGCTGATTCACAGAACGGAGAGTGAAACAAAACTTAATACCCCTGGAGAGAAGTTTATGTTCAGCGTCAGATATGGATGAGAAGGAAGGTTAACTACGTTATTGGAAAGAGGTGCCCTTATAAAAATCCACCATAGATTTACTGTACTTAACGCTGCAATTAAATTGAAGTTACACTGCAGTAAGACTATAATATGAATACCTAGGTCTACTTCATTTTTACCTTGATTTAACTAAAGTAATTACTGCAGTAAAATCATGGTGTTTTGGCCGAAATTTCTCAATTACTACAGTAAAACTACAGTGA